GAGTGATGAGTAATGTCTGGATTTGAAGTATCCAGGAGTTAAAATATTGGCTGAGCTTACATTCCTGGTATATATGATAAAATTCAAATCATTATAAAATGTTATATGTGTGTTAAAAGATCAGTATAATGTGCAAGGAATGTATTTATGCTGTTTGTAAACAAAATAATAATCTATACATCCATTAATCATTGTTTGTAATGGCCATTAGTATTTTTTAAATGATACTTTTACTTAAAAACATAACTGTAGAAGAAACAACTAGTAGAAATGCAATAAGTATGCAATTACCTGCTCAGGTTTGGCAGAAACATTCATTGTGGTGTTTTCAGGGGCACTGTCCTGAGACTGTTGCTTACATAGTCCTTTTGTTGCGTCTTTGAACATAATGTCTTTTTCCAATAAACTGTCTTGCTTGGCAATTGATAACACCAGGGGACTGCTACAGGAAATAATCAATACTGTAATTAGTCTTTTTTGATGCTGCCATATCAATAAAAAATTACAACAGGATAGTTGGGCTATCGAAGAGTATTTTATTCAGATGATTTTTTTTCTCTAAACTACAGGGAAAAATAGAAGAAAATCTATAAACTTTTCTGTTAAGTTCAAATTTCATTCAATTTTACCACGAAAAGAAAAATATTAATTTCAACTGTAAAAGAGAATGGTTATGAATGTATCTGTGACTATAATAAATAGACAAATCAATAAGCAATTTAAAAGCTAAGGTTAAAATGCACAGTTGAACTGAGATAATTAAATGTGAAAATGGATTGCAAGCAAATAATAAAAGGCCAAATTATACAACAAGCTAAACTATTATTCATATGAGATTTAAAGTATTTTATGGAAGAGAATATAAAGTTTGTAATAAAATAAAAATATGGGAACAAGAGAGGAGCAACATGGTTAAAGATTACAATAATATAAACAGTATTTATTTCTTGTAAATAAGGAAAGAAGAATATAAAACAAATTCATTTTTCATCCTTCTACAGACAAAAGATATTACCAAAAGCCGTTATTTTGTAATGTTCATAGAAAGTAAATACAATATAAATGTTGAACTTGCCATAGAGTACTTTATGATAATCCTGTTTAAAAATGTATTTCCTTAAATGTTATAATACAAATAAGAGCAAAAAGAAATACATACATATTTAATCAATTGCAGTATATATAAACATAATTATTTCATGACATCTACAATGCTAGTGATCATAATTAAAGCCCAATGTAAGTTTTTGGCCTCTTAAATATTCAGGATTATTGAGGTGTAATTTACATACATTAAAATTTACTCTGCTATTAGGTGTACAATTTAATGAGTTTAAACAAATATCTTTATATTTTTATAATATATTTATATGTATTGTGTAACAAATATTGTATAACAAACATAACCAGAAAGATGATATTTTTAAAGCCTCAAAAGCCCTTGTATGCCTTTTGTAGTCAATCACTCTCTTCACCTCTTGCTCATCTTAACCACTGATAATGATTTCTTTCATCATAATTTTGCCTGCTTCAAAGCATCATGTGAATAGAACTATAGCCTTTTGTGTCTGGCTTCACTTACTTAACATAATGTTTTATGAAATTCGTTTATGTCATTGCATATATCTATAGTTTATTCTTTTTAATTTCTGAATATTCTAGTTTAACTAGTACTATACTTTGTTTCGCTGGCGGTTCAAACCCACCAGCCACTCCTCGGAAGGAAGGTTGGGCAATCCTACTTCCGTAGTGATAACTGCCTCGGAAACCCAAGGAGGGGTCGCTATGAGTCGGGTTTGACTCGACGGCACATAACAACAACACAGCATACTTTGTTTCTACCACTCATCTGTCACTTTGTTGTGCTGTAGTGGCTTGCATGTTGCTGTGATGCTAGAAGCTATGGCACCTGTGTTTCAAATGTCAGCAGTGTCACCCATGATGGACAGGTTTCAGTAGAGCTTCTAGGCTCAGACAGCCTGGGAAGAAGGACCCGGGGATATAATTCTGAAAAAAATTGGCAACCGAAAACCTTATGAATAGCAGCAGAACACTGTCTTATACAGTTTCAGAAAATCATCCCCTCAGATTGGAAGGCACTCAAAATATAACTGGGGAAAAAGCTATGTCTTTAAAGTGGAGTCAACCTTAATGATGTGGATGAAGTAAAGGATTCAGGGCCTTCCTTCGCTGATGTATCATGACTCAAAATGTGAAGAAAAATTTGCAATTATCTATTAGAAATTGAAATATGGTGACATGCTGCCAAATGTATTGGTCTGCTAACCAGAAGGTGGGTGGTTCAAACCCACCAGCCACTCCATGGAAAGAAGACTGGACAATCTACTTCCATAAAGATTTACTGCCTCGAGGAGTTCTGAAAAGATGGAGGAATAGGCAGAAAGACTGCACAGACCCTCTTCAACAAATAAAAGGAGAAACAATTAACAGAGATACAGAAGATAATCATGGACCCCTAAGATTTGAAGGGCTGGATATAGAAGTAGACTAACTCCAACTAGCAGAAGAATTTGTATGAAAGCACCAAAAAAAGGAGACATACGGAGCTGCAGTCTGGAAGCAATCCTGATGGCACAGATAGCTTGGATGTTGCTGAGTGGTGTTAGGACTAAGAATTAACCTAAAAATCAGACCTGCTAGCCAGGGACTGCATGGAGGACTGCTCTGGTAGCTGGTAAATAAAAGAGGAAGCAGTGAAGAGGAAGGCAGGCTGAGCAATGGACTTCTTTCTGTCTGGAAGGCGCAACCATTTGAATGTTTGCAAGCAGTTCGACCATTGTGGATATTTAAAGTGACAGTATCCGCTCAGATTCCAGGGACTTAGGAACAGGCTCCACTTGTTGGGAACACCTCAAGGACATTCCAGATGCCAACAACTGGAAAAGTGCCATATTCCCCTTGTTACTCTTTTATCCCACACCCTCTTGGTGAATGGAGGTGTGGCCATCCCTCACTCCCACCTACCTTCTAGGCCAGCAGGAATTCCATACAAGTCTGGGTGCTTGGAGGGAGGCTGAGTGCCCTGTCCTGTCCCCCCCAAACAGGATAAACCCCAAAAGAAAATCACCAAGACATATCTTCATCAAACTCATCAAGGAAAAAAAAAAAAAAAAAAGACAAAGAAAGAATCCTAAAAGCACCACAGGAAAAATAAAAAGTTACCTACAAAGGAAAACCAGTAAGAATAGCTCTGATTTCTCAACAGAAACCATGCAGGTGAGAAGGCAATAGGAAGGCATATATAAAACCCTGAAAGAGAAAAATTTTCAACCAAGAAACATATACCCGGCAAAATTGTCCCTCAAATATGATGGTGAAATTAAGAGATTTCTAGATAAGCAGAAATGAAGGAGATTTGTTAAAACCAGACCAACAAGAGATACTAAAGGGAGTCCTTTGAACAGAGAACCAAAAATACCAAACAATAACCAACCATTAATACACAAGATGACGTAACCCAGACACCACAGCTATGGACATATACAAAGTAAGATAAGCTTACAAGATTGTAAACAGGGAACCAGAGACATCATTTGGCAAATGAGGACAACTACAAACCAAAAAGAGGGAAAAACTGTGTAGTTACAGAACTTCTAAATGGTGAGGAATTCAAGAGAGTTGCAAGATAGAATGAACTGTTCTATCTAATCTTGGAGAGAAAATTATAAATCACAGGGCAACCTTAAAGAAAAGTGATAAACCTTCACATGACAATAAAAAAGAGGACAAGCAAAAATATTCAGCAAATACTAAAGCAACAACAACAAAGGAAATGATAACATGATCCATAAACATAATGAGCTCAGCACAGAAAATAATATGGAACAAAGAAACCAGAGACACCATGAAAAAACACATAACAAAATGATAGCAACCAATTCACACTTGTCAATAATTATACTGAATGTTAATGGATAAAATGCACCACTCAAGAGACAGAGAGTTGCAGACTGGATAAGAAAGCAAAGCCCATCAATATGCTGTCTACAAGAGACACACCTTAGAGACAAAGAAAAAATAGATTAAAAATCAAAAGTTAGAAAAAGATATATCAAGCAAATGGCAACCAAAAAGGAGCAGGAGTGGCAATATTAATTTCTGATCAAATTGACTTTAAGACAAAAACCACCAAACAAGACAAGGAAGGACATTATATAATGATTAAAGGATCAATTGTACAAGAAGATATAACCATAATAAATATCTATGGACCCAATGAAAGAGCCCCAAAATACATAAATAATACTTTAAAAGAGTTGAAAAGTCAAATAGATGACTCCAAAGTCATAGTGGGAAACTTTAATACACCACCTTTAATGAAAGATAAAACTGGAAAGAAACTCAAAAAAGATGCAGAAGAGCTAAACAATACAATCTACCAACTTGACCTTATAGACATCTAAGAGCACTTCACCCAACAATAGCATAATATGCATTCCTTTCCAGTGCACATGGAACATTTTCCATGATAGACCACATGTTAGGCCCTGAAGATAGCCTTCATAAATTTTAAAGCATTGAAATACTGCAAAGCATCTTCTCAGATCATAATGCTATCAAATTAGAAATCAACAATAGGAAGATCACCAG